CTGATCGTTCGCTGCCTCGAGCTCCGTCCGCCCCAAAACCGTGTGGTGACGGACCGCGTGGTGACCTCGGAGTCCCTGGCGTCTTCGCCGCGCGGTCCGTCGCCGCACGGTTTGTCTGGCAGCGCGCACCGCCGGCGCTCGCTGGAGGAGCACAATAACCGTCATCCTCCCGCGCCTCCCTCCTCATCCCTCTTCCGTACTTCCTGCTCGGTCCTCCTTGTCTTCTTCCCGGTGGTCCTCCACGGTCTCATCCCTCTTCCTTGTTCTGCCCTGTCCTCTTTCTCCTCCTCTCCTCCGTCTCATCCTCCTCATCATCCTCCCTGTCCACCTCCATCCTCCGAGGCTCCTCCGAGGTCAATGTGTCGGATGGACATACCCGCCACCATGCTTCTCCTCTCCTCTCTATCTCTGATCTGGACCTCCCTCATCGTCCTTCAGTGGGCAGTGCACCTCCTTCCTCCCTCCCTCCCTCCTTCCGTTCTCCCTCCTCGTTTCTGGCCCGCCCAGGCCGCCATCGCCGCCGGCGTACGCCAGGCCCTCGCGGCCAGGGGGCCTCGCCAAGACCAGGCTGACCCGCAGGCCCCTCGGCGGCTTCGCTGGGCGGGCTTCTCGTCGACATCCTCCGCCTCCTTCCCTTTGATCTTCTCATTATCTTCCTGCTATTCCTCGTCCTCCTGTTTTCTTTTCATGTGTCTCCTTCCCTCCTACTGTTTCTCATCGTCCTGCTCTTCAATCTTATCTTTCTCAATATCATCCGCCCCTCCCCATCCTCCTCTGTTCCGGCTCCTCCTGCTCCTCCTTCTCCCCTTCAGTGGATTTGATCTACTCCTACTCGTCCCTTCGTGTTTTCCTCCATCCTTTTTTCCCATCCTCTTCCTCCTCCTTCCTTTCATCCTCCTACTCCTTCGCATTATCATTCCTCTCCTCTTCCTCCTATCACTTACGTATCCGTCCGTGTCTTCCGCCTTCTCATCCGTCCCTCTTCTTTCTCCTCCCCCGCCTTCATACCATTCTCCTTATACTCCTCCTCCCCCATCCTTCTCCTCGTCCTTCTTTTGCGTTGGTCGGAGTTCAATACATTGGTCGGAGCGTCCCTCTCCGTGTACGTGTGCGAACCGCAGCATGCGATAAGCAGTGTCTGCCTGCTGGACACCTTCTGGCTGGTATCGAATTCGCGCCTGGCCAGTTGAGCAGGTCCGAATCGTCCCCACGTTCGCAGGACCACGCATACGCAAGTGCTTCTCTTGATCTAGGATCAGCGCTGGACTCACCTCCTCGGCGCGCTCCGCGCCACGACGGCGACTTCGACGACAATGGCGGCGACCGTCACGTCGTTGACGGCGACCACCACGACGGCGAGTCCGCCGACGACGACGACGACGACGATGACGCCGATGACGACGACGTCGACGACGGCGACGAGGACGACGACGAGGACGATGGCGACGGCAACGACGACAACCATGACGGCGACGGCGACGACGACGACCACCACCACCACCACCGAGACGAGGACGCTGACGTCGCCGACGCTGACGACGCCGACGACGCCGACGACGCCGATGACGTCGCCGCCGACGGCGACGACGCCGCCGCGGACGACCATGACGGCGAGGACGACGACGACAGCGACGACGGCAACGACAACGACGACAACCATGACATCGACAACGACGACCACCACGACCACGCCTACGACGCCGCCGACGACGACGCCGACGACGACGACGAGGACGACGGCGTCGACGACGATGATGATGGCGACGACGACGACAACGACGAGGACACCGACGGCGACGACGACGACGACGACGACCTCGACGCCGCAGCCGCCGCGGCCGCCGACGACGACTACCACGGCGACGACAGCGACGTGCACGCTCGCGAGGCGCCCCGCCGCCGCCAGGGCAGCCGACCCGCCGGCCGCGATGCCGCTCGGCGCGGGCGGCGGCGGCGCGAGGCGACCGCTGGGGCTCTTCGGGGGGCCGGCGCCGCCAGCGCCGCTCCTGGTCGACGGTGGGGGGAGTGGAGGAAAAGGAGGAGGAGGAGAAAAGGGGGAAAGAATGGGGGAGGAACGGGAGGAAGGGAATGTAGGCGGGAAGGGGGAGGAAGGGAAGGAGGAAAGGGGACGGAGAGAAGACCGAGGACAGGTTTTTGGATTGCAAAGCTGTTGAAGCCGATGGCCTGTCAGCGGAGTGCGGCGCTGCAGCCAGCAGAATATCAGAGAACAACTTATTCGCTGTGCACGGACACCAGGTAAGCAAGCACAGTGGCAGCACGGGCCTGAGACTGTGTGCACAAAGAGGGAGCACGACAGCAGCAGTGGCGGTCCTGGCTTGACGCTGTCGGGGTACCCTTGACAGCAGCACAGAGTGGGAACCGCCTTGGTATGACATAGTACCCGATTGGGCAGAGTTACCTTCTGCCCCCAGCTTGACACGCAGACGAGATGGCGGCGGACAAGACCCAATCATCGCGCTAAGACAGCAGGGACAGGGAGGTATACGTCAACGTCCGTATCCTCACGTCGTGTGGCCACAATGGCGGCAAAATGCGCTGCTGCAAATGACCCGCGGGCGGCAGGCCGTGCAGCACATGCCGTCGGGCGGAGGCGCGTCAAGCGTCTTGCTCGCTAAAGTCTAGCTGGCGGACTGGTGGGGACGGTGGTGGGAACAGTGGGACAGTGGAGGGTACAGTGGTGGTTGAGGCAGTGGTGAGGGCGGTGGCGAGGACGACGGTGGGATAATGGGACAGAGATACAGTAGGGAAAGTGGCGGGGACAGTGCGGGCAGTGGTGGGAACAGTGGGACGGCTCAGTGGGACAGCGGCGGGGACAGTGGGACAGTGGGGAGAGTGGGACAGTGGTTGGGGCCGTGGAGAAAGTGGGAAGATTGGAACCGTGGTGGGAACAGTGGTGGGGACAGTGGTGACAGTGCGACAGTGGTGGGGGCACTGGTGGGGGCACTGGTGGGGACAGTGGGGACGGAGGTGGGAACAGTGGGGACAGCGGTGGTCAGGACATTGGTGCTGGGGACAGCAGTGGGGAATGTGGTGCGGACGGTGGTAGGGACCCAGGGTTGTTTGCTGGCGGTGAGCGTGGAGGGGGGGGGTCGAACCGGTAGTGACCCCCCCCGGTTTTCGAGGGGGGCGTTTCGAACCGGTAGTAAACTCCCCCTCGGTTTTCGAAGGGGGGGGGTTCGAACCAGTAGTGACCCCCCATCGGTTTTTGAGAGGGGGGGGGTTCGAACCGGTAGTGACCCTCCCGTCTATTTTCTGGAGGGGGGGAGGGGTTCGAACCGGTAGTGACCCCCTCCCCGGTTTTGCGAAGGGGGGGGGGAGGAGGGGGTCGAACCGGAAGTGGCCCCCCCCGGTGTTCCAGAGGGGGGGGGTTATGGGAGAGGGGGGGGTTTTGCCGGGAGGAACGGGGGGGGGTCCAGCTCGGGGGGGGGGGGGGGGGAATTTTCGGAGCGGGGGAGGGGACCCCCGTGCTCCGGAGGAAGAGGGAGGGGGGTATTTCCCACAGTAAAGCGGCGGTGGATCACGCTCTCTCAAATCTTTGCATACACCCGCTAGCCTTGCTACTTTCTGATTTATGCCGGCACTTCGCTCTTAGCTGCTAAGCCATGCGATGCCTGCTGAGCCATGCGCAGCCATATCTATTATCATGTTTAAAGGAATGGATATATGTCGAACGGAATCCTATTAGGGGAGGATCCACCTTTAACACAATATTATGGAAGAAGCTATGTAATACAACCCGACCAGGGAGGGACCCGGTCCAATAGAAGCCCATGAGAAGTGGATCCACCTCTACAGGGATCCTGTTATGCACGGGGTCGAATTGCATGCAATGTGGATTCACCTATGATAGGATCACGTTAGAGGTGGATCCGCCTCCAATGCAATTCCCTGAAGGATGGACACACCTGGAATATAATATTATTAGATGTAGGCCCACTTATATGCGAATCCTCCTGGGAACGGAGTCGCCTGTAATAAAATCTAGCTCGAAGCTGATCCATGGCCCATGAAATTCGGTTAGAGGTGGATGCGATCTACCTTTACAACATAGGAAATAAAGGCTAAGTCGCTTGTAAAACCATTTCTCTTCGGGATGGATATAGCCCCACAGGGTAGCATTCAAAATGCAAACCTCCCGCGAATTGGATCCGACTGGAACGTTGCACAAAGGGTTTTCTATTTGGAGCTCGCGCAAAAGAAACCAATGTGCAAATTCCAAATAACACATCCCATTGTAAAGTCCCGCGAAAGGGCTTCTAGGTGTAATCCACACGTGAGAACTTGAATTGTACATCGCCAATAAAAGGAACACGATTGAATAGCCGTACAACAGGTCTGAATCTGCAATCCACACAATAGAAGTAAATGTATAAATCGCCCACAACAGGAATCGTATTGAAAAGCCGCACACAAAGACTTCATGTCTAACCCACACAATAAAAATCACTGTGTAAATCGCCTACAAATGGATTTCCTTTGAAAGTGGGCCAGAAATAGTGCTGAACCCTCCCGAAAGAAATGGAAACAAACAACCCAAAACAAAAAACGCTCCCTCCATGTTTGTCCGCGCGCCCGACCCGCCCCCGGAAAAAATGAGGGGGCGACGGGGGAAGGCGCGAACAGAAAAAAGAAAATGTAGGGGGCGACGGTGTTTCGTTTTTTGTGCTCTCCAGAGGGTCCAATGTTTTGCCGGTTCCCTTTCAAAGGAAATTCTGGATGGTCGTCCTGGGGCTTTTCGGCGTCTTGGGTGTCTCGGGGGGGCCTCTTTGGGCCGCTTGGGATCCTCTTGGGGGCCTCCTGGGGGCCTCTTGGGGCCTCTTGGGGCCGTCTTGGGGCCTCTTGGGGCCTCCTGGGCGCTTCTTGGGGCCATCTTGGAGGACATCGATCAAAGAAGAGGGGAGCTTCAATTAGGGTTGCCCCCTTAGGAGGCCAACGTGGGGCTATTTTTGCTTCCTCGCCGAGGCCGTCTTGGACGCTGTGACCGCTCGCGGCCCCCCCCGTCCAGGTCCACGGGAAGGGGGTAGGGGGAGGGGTAAACCCCTCCCCGAAGGGGAAGAGGGAGGGGTGGAAGAGGAAACGCCCTAAACCACCGACGCCCAGAGGGCTGGTGGGATTCTGCTGTGGGCGATTTACACAATGATTCCGATTTTATGGATCACACATAGAATCCTTGTGTGCGGCTTCTCAATAGGATTTCTCTTGTGGGCCATTTACAACCTGATTTCTCTTGTGCGGATATACCCTGTTGTGCGGCATTTCATTCGGATTCTTTTTGTGGGCGGTTAGCACATTGATTCTTAGCGTGCGAGTTGCAATTCGAATCCTTTCGTGCGGCTAGTCAATAGGATTATATTGCAGGGTTACTTAGGTGGTGACGAGGAGGATGAGAGAGAACAAACGACATGACCGAGACAAGTCGACACAAAACGAACAATAAAACAAGTCCCAACATGCCAACATGCACCACGAACATGGCTCCCAAATAATTCCAGATTTCCCTCTTACCCCCCCCCCGGGCCAAGCCGAGCGTGGCGCCTGCCCGCGCGCGAAGAGCGCGGCCGCGCGCGCGGCGCGGAGGGCTCCGCCGCACACGTCGCTGCTGCAGAGGGAGGCGCCGCGCGGGGCGGCGGCGCTGCCTCTCGATTTTCGAGACGAGTTTCCAATTACTTGTTGACTATGTTTGCTTATAACTGCACTCTCGCCTAGTATCCGCCTGTATGAGGACATGCCCGACCCAACTCTATCGGCGGCCTGCCCTGTGGGGAAGTGAGAGGGGTCGGGCCCTCTCAGCAGGTTCGGAAGTCCCCCGGCCTCCAGGGGCAACGATAGGGGTTGATGGGCATTGGGGGATGCGTCGCCTCACAATCGTACGCTGCTCACCGATAAGGATCTGATAGCCCCATCCCCCCCAGGAGTATGCGGATTCGCTGTCGAGGGCCTATCGCCGATTTATCGGCCATGTACCGCCGATCCCAGGTCAATGTTTCCCCCCCAACGCCAGCCCCCTCCTATCGTTGCCCCTCTGGCCTTCTCAGACGCTTGCCGAGCCTTTCCCGAAGACACGGGAGACTTCTCAGAAGGCCCGAGGGTTTCAGAGGAAGCCCGCCGCCTTCTGAGAGGGCCTTGTCCTTCTCACTTCCCCCCCTGGCTCGCCGCCGACTCGTGTTCCTGAGGCTCGCGGATGTTCCAGGACGGTTTCCAGCCCTTGCATGCCCCCCAGCAGCTGCGCCTCGCCGAGAGGGTCCTGGACGGTGCCCCGAATCGTCCGGAGCGGCCGCCGGAGGGCCGAGTCATGACCGAGAAGCCTCCGACGTGGGAGGCCGCGTGGGGCTGGGCCCGAGGAGCCACCGAATCAGCCCGCTTTGCAGGGCTCGTCTCGAATCCTCCGATTCGGTTCGGTTCGACTTCGATGGCTTCCGGTCCGATTCAACTCGGGATTCCGATTTGGGTTCCGCTGTTTCCCGGGAGGCGTACAATTTTTCCCGACTTGGCTGCCGATTTCCGCCGATCCGATTGTTTTCGATCGCCCATCCGACTTATCGATTCGATTCTGGACTCTCCTGGCCTCGTGGTCTAAGGTGTTTGCGCCCTGAGGCCATGGGGCCACGAAGCGTGTAAGGGATGTGGCGAAATCGGCGCGGTGTCATGCAGACCCTGCACCTAGAGCGTTCGGCGCAGCTTCCCACGCGGCCGCGAAACGGGTGAGGGGTGCGCCGAAATGGGTGCGGCGCAGCCAAGCGGACCCTGCCGTTGGGGCATTTGGTGGAGCTCCTTATGGGGTCACCAAACACGTGAGGGGTGTGCCGAACTGGACGGGGGGGCGAGGCCATGCGTAAATTGCCGCTGGGGCTTCGGCGGAGCCCCCTTTTTGGGCCAGATAGCGCGTGAGGGGTGCGCCGACTGTTCTGCGCGGTGCCGCCGTGCGGACCCCGCCGCTGGGGCGTTCGGTGGAGCTCCCAGTGGGGCCGCGGACCGCGTGAGGTGTACCGACATGTGCACGCGGAGGGCATGGGGCGGGGAGGGAGGAAGGAAGGAAGGGGAAGTGCGACTGGTGGAAGACGCGGGGCGCTGCTAGTTCAAGGCGAGGACCCACCACCACAGGATGTTTTGGAACAGTTAATGGACGAAACAGCGGCCCTTGGGAAGGGGTCCAGATTCCATCTTGTGAACCAGCTTGGCGAAGTACCCAACCATATGCAGTTGTGCGCACCGCAATTGTGAATATCTTTTTCGGTGGCGCTCCCTATGGGTACGGGGGACGCATGTGGACGGTGGCTCTGGGGCCTTCGGTGGAGCTCCCTATGGGGCCACGCAACGTGTGAGGAGTGTGCCGAACCTGGGTGCGGGGGACGCATGTGGACGTTGGCGCTGGGGCCTTCGGTGGAGATCCCTATGGGCTGGCGAAACATGTGAGCGGTGTTCCGAAAGTGTGTGGAGAACGCAAGTGGAAGGTGGCGCTGGGGCCTTCAGTGGAGGTCGGTATGGGGCCCCGAAGCGTGTGAGGGGTGTGCCGAAATGGGTGTGGGGGACGCATGTGGACGTTGGCGCTGGGGCCTTCGGTGGAGACCACGAAGTGTGTGAGGGGTTTGCCGAGATCGGTGTGGGAGGCCGCATGCGGGCACCCCCACGAGGACCTTTCGATGGAGCTCCATAGGGGCCCACGAAAAGTGCGAGGGGTGTGCCGACATGGGTGTGGGGGTGTGAGCTTATCAAAGCCCTCGAAGTCTTTGATGGCAGTATGAATGAAGAAAAAGAAGAACATCAGAGTTGGTTTCAAACCGCTGCTGCGTAGATTCAAGGGCCCTCAACGGTGTGGGCCACAGTGCCGATGGTACGCTCGCTATGTTACAGTGACGTTCTGTTCTCCAGCACACGATGTACAGCGTATATATCACACCCGTGAAGTATGTTTTTTGTTTTTTGCAACGTTTGAACAAACAAGACAGGGAGAGGCCTTTCCTTCGATTTGAAATGTGGATTATAAAACCCCAGTGGTTCCGAAATGCACAAACTGCATAAACATGAACTGCATACCCCGCAATAGAACTGAGCGTACCATCAACTGAAACTGCGTTAATGCGTTGGCTCGCTCGGTGTAGCCCTCCCTGGGACAGTCACGTATTGACTGGTTGGTGTCGTCCTGCCGCTCGCTGGGTTCAGTCATCTCCACTGAAACTTCGCCTGCGCACTTGAACCCATGCATCTTACGACAGAACCGCCATTGACCTTTTTTTCAACCGGTAAACGGCCATGCTCTGAACGCCGACCGTTCGACGTCGCACCTGTTTGTAGTTGCTTATCGTACTTTTGAAGTGGATGGTCGTTCCCTTGTCGTTGCTGGTCGTCGATGTCTCCTCGGTTGTCTCGCGTTTGTTGCTGGTCTCCGTCTGGTACTTCACTTTGGAGTCGTCTTGCTGCTCCACAGACTCTTCGCAATACATAGTAGACTGCTGGAGTTGCCACTGCCATTCCAATCATCATGAACGCTAACGCGTCCCAGATATCTCCAGAAAAACCACGAACACTGCACGATCTCGTCGTAGTAGTACTTGTACTCTGTGTTGTAGTCGAACTCCGTAGTACAGGTTGCCGCTGGTTTGCAACAGCACGTTGCAAAGACTGCCAACTGTATGAGTGGCGATCTCGATGGCTTGGTAGTTGATGATGTTTCCAGCTTGCTCTTCCTGGTGATATCATGTCGCTCCTCCTTAGTCTTCTTCATGGCTACTATATAGGTAGGGTCGTGCTGTAGCTGAAGTCGTCCTGCTCGAAGTCTGTCTGCGAAAAGCGGCCTTGCTTCTAACTTCGTGAGTCCGTCCGCATACTGCCGCTCTGATGAGACCAACTTCCACTGCGTCTGTGTAGCCTCAATACGTTCCCGTAGTGCCAGTACCTTGATGCCGGGCCGCTTGTCCTGGAAGCTGGTGATGATATCCTTTTTGGTTGCGTCGTCGAGTGCCTTGGCTTCGATCGCGAGTGCTGACTCTCCTGCGTAGTGCGTGCTCTCGTCGACGTTGACGTTGACAATGTCGTAGATGAGGGCTGCCCAGAATCGCTTCGCAAATTCTCGCGTGTCCATACCTGCTGCTGCTGGGATTCTGCATGTAGCGATGACCCGGCTAGCCTCGCGAGCTTGCAAGACTTCCTAGTAACGACGCAGAAATCTGAGTCCTCGCCGTCGAATACCTTAGAGTGGAATGCCATGGTCACGTAGCCTCCGTAACTAGATCCGTCTTGGCGTACTCCCCAGGCTGCGTCCGCCATCGCCGCGAGCACGATGTCGCTGACCTTGCCAAACTTCTTCATCTTGAGGCCGACGCCCGCGTTCTGCCTGTAGAACCTTAGCGTCTCGTTTACCTCTCTTGCTGTCGCCGCGTTCTACGTTGGGAGCTGCCCTTGGCGAATGCTGACCGATGCTGACGCGTGTGGGCGCGCTTGCGAACTTGGTCACTGTAGAGCTCCAAGTAGTTCCCGAAGCTGGCGCATCTCCTTTGGCGCGAGTAGCCGGTCGCGGTTGCCATCCTATCTGGTCGATCGTGATCGGTTTGAGGTTGGAGGCGCAGGGCCGCACCTCGATGTTAAACCTCGGCGCCGTTGGAGTGCTTGTTGCCCCAGTGGGTGGTCTGATGTAAATCCGATCCGCAGTGCTCCACCTCGTCCTCCTCGATCCATTCTCGAAACTTGAACTTCCTCTTGACTGCCTCGATGACGTCGTCGCAGTTGCTGCCAGGCTTGCGATCGCCTCTTCCGAGCACGTCTCCCACATAGAGTAAAACAAACCCGTCGCAGTTGCCGTCCTTATCGTAGCTAACGACAAGACATGGGCCCAGGGGGTGCTGCTTGAGTCCGCTGGCCTTGAGGTCGTCAACTGCTCTGCGCCACCAGCGTCGCGGCGCGTCCATTTGCCCGTGCATAGGCTCGATCACCTTCATTAGCGTGTCCTGTTCGATGCCTAGCAGGTCTGCTGCGTCTCTCGGTACTTTGGCGTAGAGCATTCGTTCGCGTGGTCGTCCTTGTAGGAGCGCGGTTGCCACGTCCGCGGCTCGCAATCTCCATCCGTCGTCTGCTGCCAATAACATGGCCAACTGACGTCCCAGTCACGATGCTGCATGGGGATGTTGCAGGCACCTTGCCGCCGAGCGTATCTGGGTCGTTGAAGCCCTGTAGGACTAGACGCGACTTGTCCCTCGGTGTGCCGTCGTCGTTCTTGGTCCACTTCAGTACCCACTTGGCCTTCAGAAGACGCCTTGGGTCTTCGTCTCCGGTAGGCTTATGAAACTCTTAAACTTCGCTTCCGAAAAACTCCTCAAGCTCCTTTCGCTCGCCACCCATGATTGCGGCTCGCTCGCGTGGCGTCATGGCCCTGGCGATGATCTCGGCGCAGAGGTCAGTGAGCTTCGCGTTTTTGTCATCGAGCTCTCATCCGAACGGTAGGTCCTTGTCCCCTAGCATGAGCTGCATGGCTGCGAGCTCCTCGTCTGCGCCGTCGTCGCCCACTGACTGAGACTCTGCTGTTGGTCCTGAGAATGGTGGTTATCGGTATGTTCCCCCAGGTCGGGTAAAGATGGAAGTTTCTGTTGCGCCCAGTCGCCTGCGACCCTCCTTTAGATCCAAGCTGGCCGTAGCAGACGTTGGTTCCGATGTCAGCGAAATCGACGATGCTGCCGCCACTGGCCCCAACGTAGCGGGAGATGGTATTGGTGGAAGCAACTGAACTGGAGGCGGCGGTTGCCGCGTCTGCGCGGGCGGTGGGGCCGTTGGCTGCGCGGGTGATTTCATAGGCTGAGGTGGGCGCGTAAGAGGCATTGGCTCTTGATCTGGTTGTCCTTCACTTGGCTGTCTCCTGTTGAGAGGTGCCAGGAACGTCTATCTGCTCGTCCTCTGTGGCGCTGGGTAACCCTGGACTGGGTGGCGGTGGTGGCGCCACCTCCGTTGTTGGCGAAGCTGCTGCTCTGGTCGATGGTTTTCTCCTCTGTCGCTTTGGTGGTGGGTGGCCCCCTGGTCCAACGTCGTCGCTGATGTCCATGGCCGAGTCGCCTGGCGCGTCGGACGGTTGCTGTTGTGAGCTGACATCGTGGAACTGCGTGACTCCGGCCCTCCTCAAATTGCCGAGCGCCCCTTTGGCCTGCGCGAGGTCCCCTGGCAGAGCAAATCCTTGGTCGCTGACATCTGGTCGAACGTGTTCTGGGGCAGAACGCAGCAAGTTAGTGCCGCGCACGATCCAGTAAATCCTCGGCCCGCTCTCGCCCTGCCTCATCTCTTTGAAGACCACGATTGCGGGCCCATTCCATTTGTTCTTGACGCGCGCGTTGGTCTCGCCGTGCCTTCAGTAGAAGCACCGCTGGCCGATCGCAAGATCGTGCTTGAGGGCAACGCGACGTCGCAGCAGCGCGCGTCGTAGTTTGGCTGAGGATCCCGCCTTCATAATTGCCGATGCTGCCATTGACCTCCGCTCCATCACGTTCTTGAAGTCCTCGCCCTCCTTCATCTGACACAGGGTCGCTGGCGAGAGCTTGGCGCTGGATTTGGTCATGGTAGTGGTCGGATCCTTTCCTTAAGCCCACTGGCATGGCGAATTGCCCTCTGTGAAAGCCAACCGATTGACCCGGGCGCGGCACATGCACACAAGCCCCCGCAATCAAATCCTCCGCGATAGCCGCCCGAGCGCCGCGGTCGGGAACCTCTGCGAACTAAAGTTCCACTGTCTCTCGAATAACCTGATGCCGACGCTCCACCACACTTATCGAAATGCTATGCTGTTCTAGGAATTGCGTGAAACGATCTGAAGCAAAGCCTGAACCGTCGTCTGTCTGCAATTCTCCCATGGGCCCAAGCTGCCTGATCCAGCCACGCTCAATAGCCTTTATCAACTCCTCCGCCGTTTCGGTCATGATAGCACGTAGTGCACGATAGCGCTTGGCCCTGTCTATCATAGAGAGAACTGCCGTCTTGCCGGTGCTATTCTTGATCCAGAAGACGCCCGTGTAAAATCGTTGAATTTGGCGGCCTGCTTCGCTGACGCGCTGGGTGCTTTTGGTGGACGTTGTCTGACCACGCAGCGTTCGCGCCGAGATTCTGATGCACGCTGTAGGATATTGTAGTAGACGATGTAGTACTGCTGGGCTGCGGCGCCCCATGTTCCGGCGAAGTCTCTTGACGCAGCGCAGCGCCTCCGTGCCGCGCTGCTCTCGTAGGCGCGCTTTGGCGAGCTTCGCGACTGGGCTCCGAGCGGTCGGGTTCAATTCCCTCCTCCGATTGCATTGAGTCCTCCGCTGCGTAGATGTCCTCGATCTCGGGCTCGACCATGACTTGCGCCATCGTCGCTGCTGGGATGAACGGGTAGTCTTCGGCAGGTTTGGTGAGCTTCCGTCCCTCCAGTAGGTCGTGCCCCACGTGATCGGTCGCATCGCTCGCTGAGTACTGCTGCCGTGAGCTCCTTGATCGTCTTGAGTGTCGCCGGCTGCTTGACCATGTTCGTGCTGCCCTCGATCGCGCGGCCGTGCATGCACTGGTGAAACGTGCTGCGTTCGCCGTGTAGGCTGCTAAATGCCACGGTATGCCACGCCCTCGACGTAGCTGGATGTTCGATGTGAGCATGCCGTCCTCGTTGTTGCCGCATGCGAAGCACCTTCGCCGCGAACTGCAGATGCACTCGATGATGCCATTCTCGTAGCTCGGTGAGGTACTCCTTCAGACGGGGCGCAGGTGGATGTTGAGCTCCTGCATGCACATTGATGACAGGTGAACCTCGTCAAGCTCCTCCGTCAGTTTCTCCAGGAACGCCGCCTGGCGATCCCCCCTTGCGAAATTCCGTCCGGCTTTGAGCCCAAACGTTTCCACGCGTGCCCCGAAGTCTCGCTGTGATTGCGAGAGTCTGGCTTCTCCAGCGTAGACTTCCTAAATCGTCCGTCTCGTAGTGCACCGTTGGTGAGCTGTCCTCATGGTCTGTAGGTACTGCTCGCTGGCATGCTTCACGGCTGAGTCGATCTTCTAAGCGAAGTTGAGCGAAATCTGCTGGACGCCGTTATCGGGGTCGTTGTCGGCGCCGTAGCTGACCTCGTCCGTCGCGGGCGCTTTCAGACACCAGCATGGCTCCGGCAACGCGGAGTCAATCGGCTCGATGGCCTTCGTGGTTACGCACAAGTTGCCACGTGAGGAATGCCGCTGGCACTGCCACTGCTTCATGAAGGCTTTGCAGCAACTTACTTGTACCACGCGTCGGGAACAGCCTTCCGTGCGGGGTCGCCGTTGTCGTTGCTCCCGCTGCTCGCCGTCTTCGCTGGAGTCCGCTAGGTGCGCGTTGTCCAGAAATTCTAGGCCGCTCATGGGCTCGCTGCTGGGGTCCAGGAACTGCGCTGCGTCGAATGGCTCGTGCTCGAAGTCGTTCGTGCGGTGATTCGTTTTCCCGTCCAACTCCTCTAGTAGGTCCACGGTGTAGCGTCCTTGAGGTGATAATGTTGTTGCCTCGAAGTCGCCGCCGCTCCGCGCAGCTGTCTGCCTGGCGCAATAAACTCCCCCAGCAACGGCCTCGCGAACAGGATGGGCGCGCGTCCCAGCACCGCGCAGATGTAGAGCGCGCCTGACTTCTGCTTGAAGTTGGCTGGCACTGTGCCGCACCACTGCGCACATTCGATCTTGCCTTTGCCGAATCGAAATAGCCGTCGGTACTTGTAAAACTTGAGGCCCTCGATGGGGCAGCCCTTCCGCTTGCAGTCCTTCGCATAGTCCTTGATTTTGTTTGAGCCGGACATGAGCGTCGTCGCTCCACAGTCCATGATTCCGCTGCTGGCTTGGAATTCGCTGGCGTTGGCTTTCCCGCCCCAGTAGACCTCGTCGACCATTGCGCTGTCGTCGGCGTGAACCCGCTTCTTGTTGGGTGGCTCGGCGCAGTCCCTAGCCCAGTGGCCAGGCTTGCCGCGCCGTAGGCAGTTGGCTGATGGTGCTGACGTTGGCGGTGGTCTCGTCGCTGACCTTGCCCTTCCCATTGGGTCCGCTGCCGTCGGTCGTCATCTGGTGTGCGCGCCTGTGGGCGATGATCCTTTGGGGTTGCCCTTTCCCCCCTTGGACCTGCCAGGCCCTCTGGCCCCTGTGCTACTTGACCGGCCTTGTCCGCGCGTAGCTCCAGCTGGCGTTCCTGCTGAGCTTGAACTTCCGCCTACCATCACCGCTACCGGGTAGAAACCACATGCGAACTTCAGGTCGTCGAACCGCTTCCTAACCTCTGCGTAGGCTGCGTAGACTTCGTCGGATTCGCCCAAGTCAAGCTCCTAAGCTGTGCTGGGGTCGCGCTGGTAGTAGCTCTCGCCGCAGTCGCACCGGTAGCTCTCGTCGCAGTCGCACCAGGTCTCGGCACCCTCCGCCCAGCACGCCTGGTCGTAGTCGTCAGGCTCGCCCTCAGGCTCGCCAATGTCGAAATCTTCTTCGTAGTAATCTGCGTCTCCGTCGACGAAATATTGCTTCCGCGCGTGATTCGGCTCGTGAATGATGCTCTCCTGCCCGAGTGTTGTCTCGGACGCCTCGATGACCTTCTCCTCTGTGATGTCCTTGCCAAACGCCGAAATGATGGCTGCCTTCTGGTCCGCGCCGCATCCTCCTCGACGCAATGCGAGCCCGCCCCGGACCTTCGCCAGCACCTCGATGTCATGCGTCCTGAGCTCCCGTTCTGCTGTTCGAACTCTCGAGATGCAGGCAAAGAGCGTCTCGCACTGGCACCGTTTGAGCTTGAAGAAATACTCCTCGAAGTCGACGTTCATATTGAACTGATTCCTGAATATCATCATGAGCTGCTTCGCCGCGTTGGGCTGGATGAGCTCGTCCGCTGAGAGGCCCCCCACATCGTCCCAGGCGTCGCCCGTGATACCTTCGCTGAGCATGAGAGTTGCTTCGCCCTCCATCTTCTCCAAACTCAGCTTCGCGATGCAGATAATCGCCCGCTTCTTGCATGCATTCCATGTGCTGAGCGCGCCGTCAAACTGTAGAACTCCTTGCGCTGGTAGCACGTCCGCCATCGGCTTGGTCATCCTGCCGAAATCAAATTGGAAGGGGTTCGATTCGCCCGCCATGTGCTCAACGAAACCGAACTTGCCCCGTTCTGTGCGATCGACTGTGGGATCGACTGTGAGATCGAACGCGGAGGCTGCCGAGAAACTGACCAGGCGGTCTGTGAGATCCGCCGCGAGGTCGAAAACTTATAGAGGTGGCGACTAGATCAGCTGAGGTGCCGCCGAGATATAGAAGGTCGAAGCGCGAGCCTGGCGCAGCAGGCCCAGCTACCAATATGAATTGATCAAAGCCCCCGAAGTCTTTGATGGCAATGAGAATGAAGAATAAGATGAACACCCGAGATGCTTTTCACACCGCTGCTGCGTAGACTCGAGGGCCCTCAATTTGGGCCATACTTCCGATGGCGCGCTCGCTATGCTAAGGACATGCTCTGCGGGCACCCCCACTAGGGCCTTCGGTGGAGCTCCCTATGGGGCCGCGGGCCGCGTGAGGACGGTGCCGACATGAGTGCGGGACACGCGTGCGGGCGATGGCACTGGAGCCAGCGGTGTCTCTTCAAAACGAGGACCCAACACCACAGGATGGTTGGGGTCCAGATCCCACGTTGTCGAAAAATCCGACCGAACAATCCAACCATATGCAGTTGTGAAAACCGTCGTTGCGGGTATCGCCTTCGGAAGATTATCTCACGCGCCCATGAAGCATGCGAAAGATGTGCCGATGTGGGGCGGGGCCGCCACGGGGCCGCGAAAAGTGTGAGGAGTGCGCCGCAGTGGGGCGGGGCCGCCACTGGGGCCTTCGGTAAACTCCCTACGGGGCAACGAAAAGGTGGAATGGGTAGGGAAGCGCATGCGAGTACAGCCGCCGGGGCCTTCGGTGCGCCATGAGGCCACGAAGCGCTGTGCTGGGTGGACGGAACGCATGCAAACACCGCCATTCGGGCCTTCATTGGAGTTCCTATGGGGCCACGAATCGGTGTGCTGGGCGGGGGCGACGCACGCATGTGCATCCAGTGGGGCCTCCCGGTGAGTTCCTCATGGGGCCACGAAGCGCTGTACTGGGTGGGGCTGACGCATGCGGGCGGTGCCACTGGAGCCTTCGGTGAAGCTGCTTGTGGGGCCACGAAGCGCTGTTCTGGGTTGGGGATGACGCATGCGTGTGGTGTTTCTGTGGCCTTCGATCGAGTTCCCTATGGGGCCACGAAACGCTGTGCTGGGTGGGGTGTGACGCATGCGGGCGGTGCCACTGGAGCCTTCAGTGGAGCTCCTCCTTCTGGGGCCAAGAATCGGTGTGCTGGGTGGGTGTGGCGCATGCGGGCGGTGCCACTGGGGCCTTCGATGGAGCTCCCTGTGGGGCCACGAAACGCTGTACTGGGTGGGGTGTGACGCATGCGGGCGGTGCCAGTGAGGACTTCGGTGGAGCTCCCTATGGGGCCACGAAGCGCGGCACTGGGCGGGGGTGACGCATGCGGGCGGTGCCAGTGGGGCCCTGGGTGGAGCTCTCTATGGAGCCACGAAGCGCTGTACTGGGTGGGGGGGGTGACGCATGCGGGCGGTGCCAGTGAGGACTTCGGTGGAGCTCCCTATGAAGCACAAAGCGCGGTACTGGGCAGGGGTGACGCATGCGGGCGGTGCCGCTAGGGCTTTGGGTGGAGCTCCCTATGGAGCCACGAAGCGCTGTACTGGGTGTCGGTGACGCATGCGGGCGGTGCCAGTGGGGCCCTCTGTGGAGCCCCCTGTGGGGCCACGAAACGCTGTACTGGGTGGTAGATGACGCATGCGGGCGGTCGCACTGGGGCCTTCTTTGGAGATCCCTATGGGTCCACGAAACGCGGTACTGGGTGTGGGTGGCGCATGTGGGCGGTGCCACTCGTGGTTTCGGCGGAGCTCCTTAGGGGGCCACGAAACGTTGTACTGGGCCGGGGTGGCGCATACAGGCGGTGCTCGGAAGCCTCGAGACGGGGGTCAATGCAAACGGGGGTCAGCCAGGGCGCCAGATCCTGCAGGATCCTGCGAAGACCCCCTCTGACCGACCCGGGTTAGGGAGCCGTTCGTGGCCGCGAGGCGGCCGCGCCTATTGGCTGACCCGGGTTTGCGAGGACCTGCGTTGCAGTTTTTTTTCCCTGCATTGCAGTTTTTGGTTTCCTGCTGACCCGGGTTTGGATTGACCCGGGTCAGAAGATCCCCGAGGTGCCGCTGGGCCGTCGGTGGAACTCCGCATGGGGTCACGAAGCGCTGTACTGGGTGGGGCTGACGCATGCGGGCGGTGCCACTGGAGCCTTCGGTGGAGCTCCCTAGGGGGCCACGAAACGCTGTTCTGGGTTGGGGATGACGCATGCGTGTGGTGTGTCTGTGGCCTTCGATCGAGCTCCCTATGGGGCCACGAAACGCCGTGCTGGGTGGGGTGTGACGCATGCGGGCGGTGCCACTGGAGCCTTCAGTGGAGCTCTTCCTTCTGGGGCCACGAATCGGTGTGCTGGGTGGGTGTGGCGCATGCGGGCGGTGCCACTGGGGCCTTCGATGGAGCTCCCTGTGGGGCCACGAAACGCTGTACTGGGTGGGGGTGACGCATGCGGGCGGTGCCAGTGAGGACTTCGGTGGAGTTCCCTATGGGGCCACGAAGCGCTGTACTGGGCGGGGGTGACGCATGCGGGCGGTGCCAGTGGGGCCCTGGGTGGAGCCACGAAGCGCTGTATTGGGTGGGGGTGACGCATGCGGGCGGTGCCGGCTGCCAGTGAGGACTTCGGTGGAGCTCCCTATGAAGCACAAAGCGGGGTACTGGGCAGGGGTGACGCATGCGGGCGGTGCCGCTAGGGCTTTGGGTGGAGCTCCCTATGGAGCCACGAAGCGCTGTACTGGGTGTCGGTGACGCATGCGGGCGGTGCCAGTGGGGCCCTCTGTGGAGCCCCCTGTGGGGCCACGAAACGCTGTACTGGGTGGTAGATGACGCATGCGGGCGGTCGCACTGGGGCCTTCGGTGGAGTTCCCTATGGGTCCACGAAACGCGGTACTGGGTGTGGGTGGCGCATGTGGGCGGTGCCACTCGTGGTTTCGGCGGAGCTCCCTAGGGGGCCACGAAGCGTTGTACTGGGCCGGGGTGGCGCATGCAGGCGGTGCCGCTGGGGCCGCCGGTGGAACTCCGCATGGGGTCACGAAGCGCTGTACTGGGTGGGGGTGACGCATGCGGGCGGTGCCACTGGAGCCTTCGGTGGAGCTCCCTAGGGGGCCACGAAACGCTGTACTGGGTGGGGGTGACGCATGCGGGCGGCCCTTCGAGCGAGTGACCCTCCGAGCGGCCCTCCCAGGGGCTCTCCTTCTGGCCTCCGAGCGCTGGCGGAGGGGCCGAGGCCGCGCCCGCCAGGCCGAGCGCGGCCTCTCGGCCGGTCGCGCCCGCCAGGCCGAGCGCGGCCTCCAGGCGCGGCTGCTGCAGCGCTACCAGGGGAAGCTCGGGGCGCAGGCGCGCTCCCTGCTCTCTCCTCCTCCTCTCTCTCCCTCCTCCTCCTCCTCCTCATCATGATGAGGCGGGGTGGTTGGATGAGTTGGAAAGTGAATTGGCCATCCTTCGAGGGTTCATGGTCGGAGGGGGTCTTCTCGACCTCACTAATTTTTACGACCAACTCGAGATGGCAGCGTTGGCCGAAGCTGCCAGGGATTTAGGATATCCTGTGCGGCTCTTGGCGCTCGCCGTGGAAGCGTACCTAGGGCCAAGGCTTCTCACGCTGGACCAGGCTGTTCACAGAGGTGTCCTCCCGTCGGGAGGTGTTTTGCCGGGCTGCGGACAGGCTGTCTCTCTCTCGCGCGCGTGTCTTTACAGTGCATGTGATGCCGCTTTTAATACCAGCGCAGCCCTTCATTTATGGCAGTGGGTTGATGACATCGCGTTCCGCATCTTCGGAACTGAGCAGTCGATCCTCGGCATTTTCCCTGTTGTTGTTCGCACGTTGGTGAGGGGCCTCCTGAAGGCCAAGTGCAAGCTCTCAGTTCCAAAGTGTGTTTTTCTGGCCTCGAACGCTTCGCTGCGGAATCAGCTTTCGCATGCAGCGGCAGGTACTGCATTAGCAGGCGTCGGGGCAGTTTTGCACGCTAGGGATCTAGGCCATGACACAACCTTCTTGAATCGTCGCGCGGCCAAGGTCCACGAGGATAGGTTTCGCAAGGGTGCCCGGGCTGCCGGCAAGATAAGGCGTTTCACTCGTACCGACAAGCGTTCGCCGAAGTTATATTTTACTAATGCCTACCCCAAGGCGATGTGGGCTGCTGAAGTGCACGTGATCAGCCCTTCTAGTCTCCGATTGCTGCGCCGAGGTGCGCATGCCAGTAGTCTTGTGAGTGGTCCAGGCACGTGTGCGACCACTGCTATCAGGCTGTCTTTCGGGGCGGGCCGTGACCCTGTCCAGGTCCACATTCGTCGCCTCGTAGCCACGTGGCTGGGCCGGCTCGCAAAACGCCCGAATCTTTTCTCTCGAGTTGAAGCTGCTTGGCAGATCTCGTTGGGCAGAGCGAAGAAAGGCTGGAGTTGGGTGAGGGGCCCACTTTCAGCCCTGCAGGCGAGCTTGTTGCACATAGGGTGGTCTTGCCCCAGCGCTCGCGAATTTATTAATCCGGCGGGAGATTCCTGGGCTTTGGTAGAGGATGCATCTTTCCCTGCCACTCCGTTATTGGAAGGTTTAAGCGCCAGCATCGAGAGCATGCAGTGGCTGGAGGCCTCTAAGTTTTATCTCGGGAAGGGTGCTGAGCGAGGAGTCTCTTGGCAGCACGTGGGAGAGCTCGCTAGGAAACTCACGAAAGACGGTGAGGCAGGTCTGGCAGCAATGGTCAGAACCATTGCGGTTGGAGGCATGTGGACAGAATCGCGCAAATTCGAATGTGGCATTGTTCCCGATAGCGTTTGCCAGCGATGTTTTCGATCCGACGAGAGCCCTCAGCACAGGGCTTGGGAATGTATGAGTAATACCAGTCATGACAGCGCCCGGGTGACTGACACTGAGCATCTGCCGCATGAGGCCTTTGCAGATTTCGAGGTTGCCCAAATGTTCTGGGGAAGAGGGCTCATTCCTAGTGATTGGTTGGATCTTCCTCCCTCTCCTTCCTCTCGCCTTCTGGAGCACCACGGGTGCGAGCCCTCGACCCCATTCCCTGGCGGAACTTACGGCTCTGACGGTGCAGGCGGACAGTGGTCGCAGCACCCGCTTCTCCGCAGAGTCTCTTTTAGTTTTGCTCGCCTGGAGGTTGATGAGGACGGAGTGCCTTCCTGGAGCCATGGAGTTACAGGTGTTTGTGACAGCTCCCGCCAGAGTGTTCCCAGAGCAGAGTTCACTGCTCTCGTGGAGATTGTACGCCATGTCAGGTGGTCTGAATCGCTCGTGATTGTATGTGACCATATAAATCATGTCAAGGCCTATGATAAGGGCAGGAACCACTGCCTTCACCTTGCCAATGCTGACCTGTGGTGGGAGTTCTGGGTGTTGGCTAGTAAGAGGTATGTTCCCCTTGAGCTAGTGCATGTGCCGTCACATTTAGCTGAGAATTCGGACAAGTTTGAACGGTTTTGGAGAAGCATTGACCCGTATCATGTCTATATCAATCGCGTGGCGGACGAGCTCGCCGCCAGTAAAGCAGATGCGCAGCAGGTACCCGCGCACCAGTGCCAGGCTTTGCTGGCGCTTGAGCTTAAGGCCAAACAGGTCTTGCTCCGGATTGCCACTCTCACTATGGAGATCGCGAGTAAGCCGAAGAACAAGGAGCGCGTGGTCGTGAAAGCAAAGGTTCCGAGGCTGCTCGCCCTCCGCCAGAAGCGAGTACATTTTGTGAGCCGATCGCAGCACCATTTTGAATTGCACGCGCTTGATCTCTGGCGCTGTTCTGAATGCGGACTCCATGCCAAAGAAAAGACTCGGGGGGTTCGGGACCGTGTCCTTTCGGCCTGCGCTGCCCTGGCTCCGAGGGCCCCTGTCCCGCCCCCCCGCCTGAGGTCTGCGCCTGGTCCCCTGGCCCCTATCGATGGTGCCCTTTGGATCAGGCTTGGCATGGAAGATCCGCCTGTGCTCGTAGCCCACCCTGCTTTCATTGCAGGGCAGCAACTGTCTTCTTCACATGAGCTGTGGCATAAAGGCAAATATACATTTTGTGGCTTGTGTGGTGCGTGGGCCACGCAGCGACCGGTCAACCTGTTAGCTGGTTGCGCTGTGGCCCTGGATGGGCCGCACCGTATCTCCCCAAAGCAGCTGCAGGCTTTGCAGCGAATTCGCAAAGGATTGCCTCCGCAGCAGAGCTCTCGTGTGTGGGATTCCGGGCAGGAGCCCGTCGTTCAGCTTTAGCGCGCTGACGGCCGCACCACTTGTTCCACCCCCCTCGGGGTCTCTGGGAGCTGGCGGGGCCACCTGCCCAGAGGACTCTGCGTTGGTTCCCACCCCCAGGGTGCTCCAACCTCCTCTGGCCTTTACTTTTCTGTGCTGATGTCGTTGCTTCAGTGCACTCTTTAATTTCGGTGCTGGGCACCCTTCATCAGCCGTCCACGCATTCACCTGCAGTGCCGTCTGTAGCAGCAGACAGTGAAAAAAATCCTCTTCATTATCCTCATCATCCTCATCCTCATCTTCGTCCTCATCCTTTTCATCATCCTCATCATCCTCATCGTCCATCATCAGCATCACCACCACCACCACCACCATCATCATCATCAGCATCACCATCACCATCACCATCACCACCACCACCATCATCATCATCAGCAGCAGCATCATCATCACTCCTCCTCCTCCTCCTCCTCCTCCTCCTCCTCCTCCTCCTCCTCCTCCTCCTCCTCCTCCTCCTCCTCCTCCTCCTCCGCTCGGAGGGACTCGACGGAGAGCGTTGTTTTATTCCCGGGCGAAAGTATGCCCGGGGCCAGGACGGGGAGAAATCCGGTCCAGAACGTTCCCGAACTCTCAGTGCCATTCGGCGCGGGCCCAATGGGGTTCCCCGATCGCTGGATGCGATTCGATATAGCAGCGGCTCGCGCGCCTGGTGTGTCCCCAAAGGGCCCCCCCCCTGGCCGCGCACTGCAGGTCACGCTTGCCTCTTGCCCAGGGTCACTCCTGCGTGTAGCCGAATCTGGCTCAGCAGCAGCCCTCAACCGTTCTTTCGCGGTTCCCAGAAGAAGTCACCCCCTCACGTTCCCCCTGCGGGGGCGTGCCTCCGAGCCGCCGGCGGGGGCGGAGGGTCGCATGCAGCTGGTGTGGGCCCTGCCATCGTCGTCGTGCAGTCGGCGGCGGCGTCGTGGTCGTCCCACCCCTGCTGCCCCCTCCTCTCGTCCGCTCCGAGGTGGAGGGATGACCGAGGATCGAGGTTTTAGCACTGAGGATGTATGTTCACAGGCTTGGCATCGCTCGGACGTGTGCATTTTTCTCCAGCGAGGACCATCGAGGAGCGTCTTGGATCACACGCACGAAATCGAACAATGCACGGGAAGTGGACGCCCGAGCAATGGCGGGTTTGAGCACTGCGGTTTTTCACAGATCCGGTACGACTCCCCCTCCGTCCTCCGCCCCGGCCGGTCCGCCGCCGCGGCGACGTTGCGAGGAGATGAGGGACACATCTGGATCCTCGCAGGCTGCGCCGCGCTTGGGGGGAGGAGCGGGGAATGAGCGGGGAGGGGCCAGACGTGCTTTGAAGCTCGCTGAGGGGCAGCGAACGCGATCTGTCAGAGGCTCGTTCTCCCCTTCTTGGGCATCGCGGGCGGCCCTCGTCGCCAGCGCTGGATTCGCCTCGAGAGTCTGGTCAGAGCGCCCCCCAGGAGAGGGCCAGGGAGTGCCGGTATGGGTACAGTCGGGGCGCTGAAGAAGAAACCCTTTTCGTTGGGGAGGGGCTCGGTGTTCTTTGATTGTTGTACAGTTTGCCGTGGGTTGTCCTTTCGTTTTCCATGGGAAAGCAAAAATTAATGTATGGGAACAAGGAGCCTCGTTCCTTATGTAGGGTTCCTTAGGTCAACGCCCCGACTGTACCTCTTGGTTTCCCCAGCCTTTGTTTCTGGGAGAACGGAGGAGGGGGCAGGTCTCGCAGGGTATGAGCAAGCCTGAGCAGCCCGATCGTCGTCAGGAGCAAGCCCGAGCTTTGGCTTCTTGCGAATGGGGTCGGAAGGATTGCTACTGACGTATCAAGCGCGACGGACAAGCGTAGTGGGATTTGGCCTTGGAAACAACGTTGTCCACCAAACGACCTCCAATACATGCTTTCGTCGAGACAATCACGACGGGAGGTGTTCGGCCGTTTTTGGGCCTTGGAGGCCCTTCATCGGTAGAGTAAACAAACGGCTCAGGATGAAAAAACAGCCCCAGGGAAAGGGTCCGAATTTCCGGGGACCTCGTATTGCGCATCGAGTATATATATATATATGTGTATATGTATATGTATATGTGCATGTCTGTCTGTCTGCCTGTACATACATACATACATCCATACATCCATACATACTTACATACATACATATATACATGTATGCATACATACATACATACATACATACATACATACATACATGCCTACATCCATACATACATACAGACATACAGACATACAGACATACAGACATACAGACATACATCCATACATACATACATACATACATACATACATACATACGTACATACATACATACATACATACATACATACACATACACATACACATACACATACACATACACATACACATACACATACACATACACATACACATACACATACATACATACATACATACATGCATACATACATACATACATGCATGCATGCATGCATGCATGTATATATATATACACATATATATATATATATGTATACATATATATATATATATATGCACACGATGTCTGAGGGGGTGTTGGGCGGCATTCTGGGTGGGCACGCACGCACACCCCCTCGTGCCGCGCTGTGGGCTATCGGCCGACGCGCCTGCACCTGGTGGACACCAGACCTAGAGGCCGCGGATCGGGGAGAGGAGGCAGGGGAGTCGCGATGCGGGCGCCGAAGCGAACAGGGGGCAAGTGGCACATTGGCATTGGGCAGGAGGCGGCAGGAGGGCAGGATGGCAGGAGTTGAGGACGACGGGACGAGACGATGCGATGCTGTCAATGCTCACAGGGTGGGTGCAGGCTGCAGGTGCTTCCCCTGTTCGCAAGGGGGGTGCAGCCAGAGAGAGACGCCGAGGCGCAGTCCTGGAGGGGGAGAGAGGAGGGGCGGTCGAGAGCGCTTGTGGAGGGGGTTGCGCCGGGCAGGATGGAGGGGTGGGTTCCCAGAGATCCAACGTATTGAAAAAATCATGACGGAGGTTTTTCACAGTTTTCGGCCTCTAGAGGCCCTTGCCGGGCCTCGGGACCGTCAAAAAACGGCTGAGGATGAAAACCCCGTCCTGGGGAATGGGTCGAGACTTCCGGGGACCCCGCATTGAAGAAATCACAACATCGGATCTCTGGGTTGATTGAATTTGCAGGGCTGTCCCAAGAGAAGGGGTCTGGGGCAGCCCCTTCTCGGGGGAAGGAGAAGCGACACCAGGACGGCCAGGGAGACCTCCTCTGGCGAGGAGGTCTACGACGTCTCCCCCAGCTGGGGAGAAGGGGCGTTTGAGGCGAGAGGGGGGACCATACCACCAGAGGGACCCCCCTAGCTCCTTCCGCTGGTGTTCGCTGGTGGTGGTGATTTCGCCTTTCCTTGTTTCCGCCCTACCCCTCCACCACGCAGTGGTCCCGACGTGAGTCCAGGGCGAGCCCAGAGGAAGGGCCAGGGCCAGCCGTCTCTTCATCCTGCAAGGAGCCATATTCAGTCAGCCCTCCATCCTGCTCGACTCCCCTCCTAACAGGCGCAGTCTCGCCCTCCCTTTCCCCCTCCAGGATCGTGCATCGGCATCTATCTGACTGAGGGGTGGGCGTTTGCGGCCTTCCGTCGGGACGCCGAGGGCCGTTTCTGGTTTTCCAGGGTTCGAAATGGGTTGCTCGATGTTCCCTGAGGTGCTACCCCTGCTGGAGCCCAGAAGAGCGACAGCCTGAGCATAGTCGAAAGCGGGCTTCGCTCGAGAGCTTTGCGTGGCAATACTTACGCTACGCGGGGAGATTCTAAGCCTCCCTAATCAGTGGCGCGAAGATTACCACAGTTCGCCCGTCGCGGACGAAATCGATTGAAAAGTAGTTTCTGCCAACCAAGGGGCCGCAAGAGAGCGCGAAGATAACCGCGCGTCGCGCATCGCATTGCGCGGCGCACGCAGTTTGGTGATCAGCTCCCCGGAGGCCCGAACCCACACACCCCGACGTCATGATGTTCAGTCCGTCCCTTAGACTTATGTCTTGGAACCTGTTCCTAGCCTAGGCCCGCAGCGGCCAGAAAAGCCCAATCGTTCCTCTTTATGCGTTTCCTATGGTAGCACGATGACTGTAGACCCCTTCCCAGTTTTCCTTATGAGAGCACGATGACTGTAGACCCTTTCCCAATTGGTTTCCAGCCGTCCCGGGGCCAGACGAGGTCCCTTTGAGGCCGAAAGTGCCCAAACTTGCCCGCCCTGAGAGGGTCTGGCGAGCGAGCCGAACAAGCAGACAGAAGCTTCGACACGCCTCCGCCTCCTCCCCGCCTTTGCCTCCTCAGCCTCTTTCTTGACTCGTTGACCGCGTGCGGAGCATCGCGCCGGGGTCGACGAAGGGAAGCCGACGCTCGCGCCTGGAGGAACCCTCAGGAGGGGGAAACAAAAACACAGACTGAATCAATCGCCGACTCCCAGGGAAAGGTGGGAAATTATCCTGGCGAAGAACCCAACCATATGCAGTTGTGAGTACCGTCGTTGCGGGTATCGCCTTCGGGGGATCTCCTGACGGGGCCATGAAGCATGCGAAGGGTGTGCCGATGTGGGGCGGGGCCGCCACGTAGGCGCTGCCACTGGTGCTGTAGGCGGACCGCGCTACGGGGAAGTGTGAGGGGTGCGCCGCAGTGGGGTGGGGCCGGAATTGGAGCCTTCGGTGGAGCTCCCTATGGGGCAACGAAACAGTGTAATGGGTGGGGTAGAGCATGCGAGTACAGCCACCGAGGCCTTCGGTGCAGCTCCCCATGAGGCTTCGAAGCGCTGGGCTGGGTGGGGGGAACGCATTCGAACACCGCTCCTATGGGCCCACGAAACGCTGCACTGGGCAGGGGTGGCGCATGCGAGTGCTACCGCTGGGGCCTCCCGTTGAGCTCCCTATGGGGCCACGAAGCGCTGTACTGGGTGGAGGTGACGCATGCGGGCGGTGCCACTGGGGCCTTCAGTGGGGCTTCCTATGGGGCCACGAAGCGCTGTACTGGGTGGGGTTGGCGCATGCGGGTGGTGTCACTGGGACCTTCGGTAGAGCTCCCTATGGGGCCACGAAGCGCTGCTGTACTGGGTGGGGGTGACGCATGCGGGCGGTGACACAGGGGCCTTCGGTGGAGTTCCCGATGGGGCCACGAAACGCTGCACTGGGTGGGGGGTGACGCATGCGGGCGGTGCCATTGCGGCCTTCGGTGGAGTTCCCCATGGGGCCACGAAACGTTGTACTGGGTGGGGGATGACGCATGCGGGCGGTGTCTCGGGGGCCTTCGGCGGAGCTTCCTATGGGGCCACGAAACGCTGTATTGGATGGGTGTGACGCGCGGGACCACTGTGGTCTTCGCCACGAAACGCTTATAATTGGTGGGGGATGGCGCATGCGGGCGGTGCCAGTGCGGCCTTCGGTGGAGCTCCCCATAGGGCCACGAACCGCTGCAGTGGGGGATGACGCATGCGGGCGGTGCCGCTGGGGGCTTCGGTGGAGCTCCCTATGGGGCCACGAAGCGCTGTACTGGGTGGGGGGGGCGCATGCGGGCGGTGCCAGTGCGGCCTTCGGTGGAGCTCCCTAAACGTTGTACTGGGTGGAGGATGGCGCATGCGGGCGGTGCCACTGGCCTTCGGTGGGGCTCCCTACGGGCCACGAAGCGCTGTACTGGGTTGGGGTTGACGCATGCGGGCGGTGTCAGTGCGGCCTTCGGTGAAGTTCCCTATGGGGCCACGAAGCGCTGTACTGGGTGGGGGGTGACGCATGCGGGTGGTACCGCTGGGGCCTTCGGTGGAGCTCCCTATGGGGCCACGAAGCGCTGTACTGGGTGGGGGTGACGCATGCGGGCGCTGCCACTGGGGCCTTCGGTGGAGCTTCCTACGGGGCCACGAAACGCTGTACGGGGTGGGAGATGACGGATGCGGGCGGTGCCGATGCGGCCTTCGGTGGAGCTCCCTACGGGGCCACGAAACGTGTGAGGGGTATGCTGAAATGGATGGGGGTAACGCATGCGGGCGGCCCCACTGGGAGCTTCGGTGGAGCTCCCGATGGGGCCACAAAACGTTGTATTGGGTGGTTGAAACGCAGGGAGGAGGGAGAGGGGGGGAGGAGGAGAGAGGAGGGAGGAGCGGGAGGAAGAGGAGGAGGAGGAGGAGGAGGAGGAGGAGGAGGAAGAGGAGGAGTGAGAACGCGAGGCGCTGTCTCTCCAAAACGAGGACCCAACACCGCAGGATGGTTAGGAAGTATGGGAAGTGGGCGGGAAGACGAAAACCCAGAAAAGATTGGAGCATATCTGGAATCCTGGGACCTGTGTCCATCCATTTGTGTGTCCCTGGGCCCCTTCAGTCTTGCTGGCCGACTCTGGGTTTGCGCCTCCCACGGCTGCAGACCTCGATCTGCAAGCAGGCGTTGTATCCATGCCCATTGCGCCTTGGAGTTCGATTCCTCCGATTCGATGCGATGTCGATGGCCTCCGATTCCAATTCGATTCGAGTTGGGATTCCGATGTGGATTCCGATTTCACACTAGAGGCCTACTAACCTGCCGATTTCCGCCGATTCGACGTCTCCCGACTCGGCTGCCGATATCTGCCGATCCGATTCATTTCGATCCCCGATCCAACTTATCGATTCGATTCTGGGCTCTCCTGCGTGCTCCCTTCCCCAGAACCCAGGGCCGCAGTGGACATGGATCGAAATGTGGCCCCCATAGGCTGGATGCTTGTTTCCATATCCACTGCGCCTCGGCCTTTTGGCGCCCCTTCCCAGAAAGTCCAAGACGCAGTGGATACCATTCCGCAATAACGTGGAGGAGGTCTGATTTGGGTGAGGGGGGTCTGACTTGAGCTGTCTCGGAGGGTCCCAGGGGTTCTGGGCAACAGGCGGCCCTTTCGTGGCTGGTCAGGGGTGGGGAGTCCGAAACTGCTCGTCTGGGAGGGTTGTGACCACCTCCCTCCAGGCGATCGCAAACATGGATCAAGGGGCCGTGAATTAGCGACGGGTCCCGTTTCCATGGGATATCGCAGATTTCCGCCGCCGGACGAGGCGGCACCGGCCGCATTCTGGGGAGGGCACCTCCCCCGATCCATGGATCTGGCGACCGCGCGCAAGAGATCCCTGGATCGGTGATCCATGCTTGCGCGCCCCTGATCCCCTCCATGCCAAGAAGCTTGGAGCAGAAGTCTTGCCCACACTCGACCCTCGCGCCCCGACGCCGGCGCCAGCGCCGGTGCCCGCCCGCTGCCGGCCCTCCTCGGCGCAGCCGCCCCGAGGTGTCGGCCTGCTCGACGGCGGCGCCGCTGTCGCTCCCCACCACGGCGAGGTCGCCGTCGCGCCCGGAGGAGCGCGGGCGCGGGCTCGGGCTCCTCGGGCATCGCTCGGGCGTGTGCCTCCCTGCCTCGGCGGGGACCCTCGAGAAGCATCCTGGATCATTCTCGGCAAATGAGGGCACAGCATCGAGAAACAAAGCACAGGGCATGGAGTTCTGAGCGATGGCAAGGCTCGGGGGTTTCAGATGGTGCTGCTGGTGCAGTTGTGCGGGCTGGCGCCCACAGCGCGGAGGCCGCGGGCGGGATCCCCGGCCGGCGCCTCCACCCTCCAGCAGGGTCGGACAGTGCCGAGGGGGTCACCATCAGCCAGGGGCAAAGTTAGGGGGGGATGATATGCTCATATAAGGGGGGGGGGCGTGTCGGGTTCGAGGTTCAGGATTTTCGGGCGTTCTCGCCGGTTCTCGTCGGCTCTCGGGCCTCGGGGTGTTGTCCGGCAGCTGCGCCTCGCCGACGGCGTTCTGGGGGTGCCAGGACAGTCCCGAACGGCCGCAGGGAGAGCCGAGCTGTGGCCCGAAAGCCACCAGGGCCACGTGACGGGGGTCAGTGCTAACGGCGGGGGTCGGCTGATCCCCCCTGGCTGACCCAGGTTTGGGAGCCACTCCTCCTCCTCCTCCTCCTCCTCCCCCTCCTCCTCCTCATATTCCTCCTCCTCCTCCTCATCCTCCTCCTCCTCCTCCTCCTCGCGCTCCTCGCTCCTCCTCCTTCCTCCTCCTCCTCCTCCTCCTCCTCCTCCTCCCTCCTCCTCCTCCTCCTCCTCCTCCTCGTGGGCATCCCCGGCCTGCTTCGCGCTGCGAGAGCAACAGCGAGCAGATCTTCGGTGCCATTCTCGACCTCCGATAGGCCCTTTTCTGGGCCCCGGGGCCGTCAACAAAACGACCCGCGATGAAAGATTGCTTACGGGGGGAAGGGGTCCAGACCTCTTCAGAGCCCCCCCCACCGACATGGATTTCGATGAGTTCACAAAGAATGCCAGCGCGCGCTATCGAGAAAACTGCGGCCGTGTGCAGGAGAATTTCTCGCATGTCATTCTCTCCCCAGGGGGAAGTTTCGACGTCTCGGTCAGCAGCAGTGTCCTGGTGGTTTGCGTGGCCCAGGGTCCTTCGTTAGCTAGGGGTCCGATCGAACAGAGTTCGGCCGCCATGCTGGGGCACGGACTGGAGCTGGAACATGTGCGTTCAGGCATCGTTGCATGAGGGGAGGGAGGAGGAGGTGGAGGAGGTGGAGGAGGAGGAGGAGGAGGAGGAGGAGGAGGAGGAGGAGGGGGGGAAGAAGAAGAAAGGACGAGGAAGAGGAGGAGGCGGAGGAGGGTCAGGAGGAGGAGGAGGTCCAGGGTCCACGTCGTTGAAAAAAGCATGACCTCGGGGGCCTGGCACCGCCGGGCGGGGCGGCCTGGCGCCACAGGGGCCCTTCGCCCAGGGGCAGCGTGTTATGGGCGGATAGGCTCGGGAGGGGAGCGCACCGACCCCCAGTCGCCCACGGGTCGCCGACGGGGGCCCAACAGCTCGTCCCGGCCAGGGGCGTGCGGACCCGCTATCGCGGGCCTCTATCTGCGATGCGTCGCCGATTCCATGTCGATGTCGTTCCCCCGAGCTGGTCCCCCCCCGTGCGTTCTCCCGCAGCTCCGCCTGGCCGGGCGGCCCGGCCACGTTTGGGCTTCGAAAAACGGGGCAGGAGGGCTTTCCCGATTCGCTGTTGATTGTTCCTGACCTCGGCCAGAGTCACAGTTGACCCGCGGCTTTCGGGCAACGCAAATCGCTACTGTCAAATCGTATGCAACGATTGGCAAAAGGGTCAGTATTGCCTGGGGTCACTCGTGCGGTAAGCGTGCGTGTAGCCGACGAAGGTGTAACGGGGGTCGGCCTTGACGGGGGTCCGCTCAAACTCGGATGAGGGTGATGATCGGGATTCGAAGTAAGTTCGGGAATTGAGGTTCGAAGGATCGAGGATCGAGGGCCTACCTCGCCCTGATTTTCATTTTGGGTCGAGGATCATGGTTCCGAGTGTTGCGTGGTGTTCGTCCTGTTTGCGAGTCCTCGGACGCCCTCGTCGCCACGGCTGGATCCGCTTGGAAGTTTGGGCCAAAACGAATCCCGTTGGACCAGGTTTTGGGGTCAGTTCTTGAGATTCCAAGGGCAAGGATCGAGGAGGGAAGGGAACCGACACAAGCACCATCAGCGGGCCACCCTCATCGATGATGGCCACGATGCCTCCACCAGCGTGGGAGCGTGAAGATGTCACAGCTGAAATGGGGGGAAGAGGGGGGGCGAACCACCAGGAGGGCCCTCCTGGGGCTGGTCTCGACTGTGGTATGCCGCCTGTCATTGTTCCCACAGTCGAGTTTGATAAGCAATTCGACCCTACCAAATCAAGGGTACGTACCGTTGTGTCCTGTGTTTGGAGGCCCATGCCTTCTGCACTGCGTTGGCTAAGCGGCCCTGGGAAGGGTATTGTATTATCTCCCGTGTCCTCGCCACTCGCACTCGACTGTACCTGGCGGAGGCCAGCCCTACAGTGGGGGCCAGTCCACAAGAAACCCAGCCCTGAGACCCCAGGGCGTCCACCGATTCTTGGAGTGGGAACGTCACGCGTTCCGTCGCAAAGCCTTCGAAACCCAAGAAGCCCAGGGCACCCTGGCGGCGAGCAGGGCGTTTCTTGGCGTGGGCCCCCACTGCAGCAGGGATCGGCCAGTGCCCTCCGCTCCCCTCTGGCCGGCCCACGCTCGGGAGCCCTGCGAGCAGCGGGGCCGCGCCTGGACGCTGGCGCGCCAGCTCCCCGCGCGAGCGGCCCGGCAGAGAGCGGGCGGAGACGCAGAGAAGTGCTGCCTCTCCGCCCGCTTTCTCTCCGAGCATTCTCTCCGAGGTTCGAGTCTGCAACAGGCGAATCACACGTCGGAGTGATTTCCGAGGTTCAAAAGCCCAGATGGATTTCACCCTGAGCCCTCTTGTTTAAGAAGATGCTCGGAGAACGGCCGCAGGGCCCGCCGGGGGGAAGGCGGCGGGAGCGACAGCGAGGCGCCAAGCTGTCTCGGCGCGGGGCCTCGGGGATCGGCCAGGCTGCTACGGGGAGGCGGCCCCGGGGGGGGGGGGGAGCCCTCTTAGCCTGGCCCACGCCCCCGTGGCCCCTTGGCTCAGGCGTCGAAGAGGCCTTGACCCCGTCCACCACCCTTGGGCATGGGGCGGACCCTGGGGGCAGGGGGAGGGCGGCCTCGCCTGCGGCGACTGCCTGAACTGGAGTGGCGTGCTCCTGGGGCGACGGGGAGAGTGGCCCAGGCGACGACGCCGCCGTTGGATCGCCGATGCGTCGTCGATGCATCGGCGATGCATCGCGACCCTCCGGCCCCACCTGCTCGGACCTCCTCCTCTTCCTCCTCCTCCTCCTCCTCCTCCTCCTCCTCCTCCTCCTCCTCCTCCTCCTCCTCGCCGACGCGGGTGTCCGCCTCCCGCCCCGCGGGATCCCAAGGGAGGAGCGCCTCCCGAGGATCCCCGGGGCCGGGTGGCCTCCGCGCGGTGGCGCTCGCGGGAGGCTCGGCGGCCCTCAGGACGCGCCTTCGCCCAGCGCGCCTGCCGCTCGCCCCGCGCAGCTCCGCCGACGACACGCGGTCCGGGCCGATTCTCATCACGCCGCCCGCGTCGTGTCGAAGGCCTGCGGTGGGCCGGCAGACAGGCCGAGGTCGGTCCTCTTCCTCTTCCTCCTCCTCCTCCTGCTCCTCCTCCTCCTCCTCCTCCTCCTCCTCCTCCTCCTCCTCCTCCTCCTCCTCCTCCTCCTCCTCCTCCTCCTTCCCTCCTCCTGTCGCTCCTCGGCCGAGCGCGGGAGCCCGGGAGGCCCAGAGCCCCGGCGCCGTTGTTTTGCAGATAGTGTCGACCCCGCCAGAGTGCTGGAGTCCTTCCCTGGCACCGGTGCCTCGTCACGGGGAAGTTTCTGACGCCCCCAAGGGCCGAAATTTGCCTGAAACCTTCTCTTGTTTTTTGGGTTCACGAAACATTACGAAACCGACGACGACGACGACGACCAAAAGCTGGTCAAGACCAACTCCCTGGATCCCACCCGGGGTCCGTCCTGGCTAGTTTTCTGAGCCGTGTCCAGCCGTGCCGATGAGAATCTTTAGAAGCGACCATAGACCTCCGAAACGACGACATCGACGACAACGGCGAAGAGAACTTCGAGGATGAGAGTGGGGGGACAAACAGATCACGATACCGCTAGTCCCCAGACCTCTCTCGGTGTGCATTCGGGCCAGAATGCCGAGGAGGATCAGAACGATCATAGCTTTTGAGGGGTACCCTGCCATTCTTCGCCGTTGAGCTCTCCACCCTGAAATGCTGATCCTGTTGGGTATCTCCATGTGTCAGGAGGGGAAAATCAGCACAGACACAACTAGCGTCGATCCCCAGGAAATTAGTGGAACATATCGAAAGTGGAGGGGAATACGAAAATCGAGCAAACACCAGAAAAGATTAGAAGTCCTGGTATTTGAACAGATTGTTCCTTTTTGTGTCCCTGGGCCCCCTTCGAAGTGTCCCTGGGCCCTCGCCGAAGGGGCTCCTGGCCTTACGATCGGCGCTCGTGTGGTCGTGTGCTCGACGGCGCTGGCGCGGCCGCTCTGGCCCCGCTTCTGGGCCCGTGGCGCTGCGGCCCGATCCGGCGCACGCTCCGACCCCATCTCGGGGGCGGCAAAGAGAGGGGTGATGACCAGGGGGGGGTGGATATCATGGCGGGGGCCATGAGATCTCCCCAGATTTCATGGCGCCCCTTTCCTTATTTCAATGCGTTCCCTGGACCTCCCCTGGGACGCGCAGATGCCGCCGGCCGCGATTCTCGCACCCCCCTCTCGGACACCGCCCTCTTGCACGCCCCCGAGATGGGGGACGAGGGTCGGTGGTTCCAATGCAATCAGTCACGAGGGAGCCGTGGGGGATCGTTCCTTCTCTTTCCTTCTACTCCTTCTCCTCCACCTCCTTTCGTCCGGTGTCCCGATTCGATGTCGGTCCGCTAATGTTCGGTGGGAAATTATGGGAGCCTGGTATACCCTCTGAATTCCGTCTGTAGCGTCGAGTAGCGTCGATTAGCGTCTGGAGTCGCTGAGATACCGCCGATTTAGCGTTGATTCAGCGTCGAGTAGCGTCGATTTAGCGTCGATTAGCGTCGATCCGCAAGAGCCGACAAGATGGTATGGGAGGCTCCCATGACTTGCCGCCGAACCAATGAGCCCTAGGCGGCAGCAGTGCGCGAGCGATCTGCAATCGAGGTGCGGTGGCCGTGAAAACAGGATGCGGTGGCCATCACGTCGCAATGCGGTGGCAAAAACATCGGCCCGAGCCAGCGCACGCTCCGATCGCGTCCGGTGTCCCGATCCGATGTCAATCGGTCTTGCCTCCCTGCAAAGCCTCTCTACCCTGCAATAGGTTCGCGCCGCGTCGGCTCGGCGGCGACCCCAGCATGGGCGTTGCAGGTTTCGATTGGGGGATCGACTACAGAGTTGATTTATACCATCAGTGATTCTTTCGTCGAATCTACGAACATTATAATGTTCGTGGATATACGAACTTGCTGTTGTTTTGCAGACTCGACGGAGAAAATGTTGGGTGAATCAGTTATGTCGTCGATTTCTTGCTCGACGATTGGACGCTGTGCCTTTCTGCTCTGGCAGGGGAGCTCTGGGGAGCGCAGGGATCCGGGCGCGCCCCTCGCTCGGCCCCGTGCCCGAGGAGGGCAACGAGATCTTGAGGCTGCCGCAACTCCCGAGCCCGCGCGCCTCGCAGGCGGGCCCCCCGCGGCGGCCTCCCCCCCCCCATCGACCCCTCCTCCTCTGCCTCCTCCTCCTCCTCCCTCCTCCTCCTCCTGCTCCTGCTGCTGCTCCTCCCCCTCCTCCTCCAGCACGTCCTCCTCCGCCCTCCTCCTCCTCCCCCTCCTCCTCCTCCTCCTCCTCCTCCTCCTCCGCCTCCGCCTCCGCCCTCCTCCTCCTCCTTTTCAGCCTTTTCAGCCCTGTGGGAGAGGGTAGGGGAATCACCCTAGGCCCTCTCCGAGCGTTCGCGCTACCTACCCTCGCTCTCTCTCCCAGCGCGGCGCGGCCCCGTGACCGCCAGGCGCTGCACGGTGGCGCCCGCGGGTGGTGCAGAAAAGAGGTGCCAGGGAGGGTTGAGCTCAACAGACCCTCCTCCTGGCAAGATTCCTCTCCGTAACTTCCGGAGGTCGGGGGTGACGGCCGGAGGATGGCATGTGGGCCTTCTGAGTCGCAGAAAGACACTAGCATACCGGCTGCTCTGACCGACGTGACGAACAGTTCGTGCCTATATCCTGGCTCCTGTGCCACATCCAGGACATCTTGGAACGAAGCTGACAGAGAGAAACAACGCGTGGTGGCCACCAAACGGGATCCCGATCTGTGGCACGCCACACACCTCCATTCTTTCCCATCCCGTACCTGGGTATGGGGCACCCTCGCGATGGCGCTCTTGACACTCGGAGGCCCTGGGAGGCGCCGGAGGGGTCCTGAGAGCTCACGTGTGGGGGGCCAGAGCTAAAGAAGGCTTAGCATAGCCTGGGCTACCCCGGAAACCAAAGACATATCATATTCGAAACGAATCAAACCAGTGGTGGGCCAACCGTTGGCTCGAGCCGCTTCCTTGGCCCACTTGTCAGCCAAGCGATTTCCAAGAATATGCAATTCGTCTAGCTCTGAGGCGGCATCTTCGAGCGCCCTGTGAGTTTTGATCTTCATTCACGGAGGGAGGCTGCGATCACAGGCCAGCTTCTGCATTATCCGCCAATCTCCCGCGTGTGGGGCCGAGAGGTTCTTGGCCCAAAGCATATTCAGAGCTCCCTGAACTAAGGCCTGACAATCTACGTGCACGGCCTTGTCATCAGGAAAATGTTGGTTGAGGTGTCGAGCGCTTGCATCAAACCGTGATGTTCGGCTCCTGGCGCCGTCTGCGGGAGACCATCGGGAACGGGGCCACACATCGCCCTCAACATGTTCGCCCGCGCGTCGCGCTCAATGACTGACCAACCAGCTCGAGCTAGATTACCCTGATCTATATGGAAACAGCTACCCTCGTCTGTGAAGCAGAAGGGTGCGCCTCCTTTTCCTCCTCCTCCTCCTCCTCGTCCTCCTCCTCCTCCTATTCATTCTCCTCGTCCTCCTCCTCCTCCTCCTCCTCCTCCTCCTCCTCCCCCTACTCCTCGTCGTCCTCCTCCTTCTCTTCCCGCCTCTTCCCGCCTCTTCCCTCCTCCGCCTCCTCCTCCTCCTCCTCCTCCTCCTCCTCCTCCTCCTCCTCTCCCTCCTCCTCCTCCTCTTCCCTCCTGATTATCCTTCCTCCTCATGTTCCTTCTCATCCTCCTGAACCACCACCCCTCCCTCTTCTTTCTTCATCCTCCTCCATCCTCCCTCTGTTGTTCCTCCTCGTCCTCGTGCTCCTCCTCGCCTTCCTCCACCTCGTCCACGTGCTCATCCTCCTCCTCCCCCTCCCCCTCCCCTCCTCCTCCTCCTCCTCCTGCTCCTCTTCGCGCCTCTTCCCTCCTCCTCCTCTCCTCCTCCTCCTCATCATCATCATTATCATCATCAGCATCATCATCATCATCATCATCATCATCATCATCGTTCTCCTCCCCTCCCCATCCCCCCCTCCTCCTCCTCCTCCTCTCCTCCTCCTCCTCCTTCCTCCTCCTCCTCCTCCTCCTCCTCCTTCTCCTCGTCCTCCTCCTCCTCCTCCTCCTCATCATCATCATCATCATCATCCTCATCCTCATCCTCCTTCTCTCCTTCCTCCTCCTCCTCTTCGCGCTCTTCCGCCTCTTCCTCTTCCCTCCTCCTCCTCTTTTTCCCTCCTCCTCCTCCTCCTCCTTCTCGTCCTCGTCCTCGTCCACCTCCTCATCCTCCTCCACCTCCTCATCTTCGTCGTCTTCCTCCTCTTCTCCCTCCTCCTCCTGCTTTCTCTTCCCGCCTCTTTTCCCTCCTCCTCCTCCTCCTCCTCCTCCTCCTCCTCCCTCCTCCTCCTCCTGCTCATCTGCTCATCCCTCTCCTCCTCCTCGTGCTCCTCCTCCTTCTCCTCCTCCTCCTCATCATCATCCGCCTCCTCCTCCTCCTCCTCCTCCTCCTCGTCCTCCTGCTCCTCCTCCTGGTCCCCCTCCTCCTCCTCCTCCTCCTCCTCCTCCTCCTCCTCCTCCTCCTCCTCCTCCTCCTCCTCCTCCTCGTCCTCCTCCTCTCTCGTCCTCCTCCCTCCTCCTCCTTCTCCTCTGCCTCCCTCTCCTCCTCTCCTCCTCCTCCTCCTCCTCCTCCTCCTCGTCCTCCTCGTCTCGTCCTCCTCCTTCACCTCCTCCTCCTTCCTCCTCTGCCTCCCCTTCTCCTCCTCCTCCTCCTCCTCCTCCCTCCTCCTCCTCCTCCTCCTCCTCCTCGTCCTCCTTCATGCGGCGGCCCCCTACGGGCCCTCGGGCCTGGCGGCTCGCACGGGGAGGTGGCGGCGAGCTGTTCTTTCTCAAGTTATCTGGGTTTTGTTATCGGAACACATTCGAAGCCCTGGGCGGTTGCTATCAGTTGCGCCTCGCCGAGAGCGTTTTGGGGGTGCCGGCGTCGTCCCAAAAAGCACGCCCGAGGGCTTCGGGCCGAGGCCCGAGTGATGTGCCGAAAGCAGGGCAATGCCAATGGGACGTCGGAGGAGCTCCCCGTGTGGCCATGTTTCGTATGAAGGGCGTGGGAGACCGCACGCGAACTTCCCCCTGAGGGCTGTGGACCTCCTCCTTCTCTTCATCCTCCTCTTCCTCCTACTCTTCCTCATCCTCCTTTCTCCGCCTCTTCCTCCTCCTGCTCTTCCTCCTCCTCCTCCTCCTCCTCCTCCTCCTCCTCCTCCTCCTCCTCCTCCGGGCTGTGGAGCTCCCTGTGGGGGCACGGAACGTGAGGGGTGTGCGGAAATGGGGGTCGCCCTTTCCTCTAGGAAGCGGACCCTCCTGGATCCCCCAGGACTCTGCAAGACACCAGAAAACGTCCAGAGTGTCTCCGATCATCGAGCTTCTTTCCTCTTGTGTCCTTGATTCCTCTGGCTTCGCGGGGTGCACGCCCGGACCACGTACAGCCCAGTCGTTCTGAGGCCTCTGGGGAGCTTCTAGGGGGCCTCTGGGGACCTCCTAGAGGCCTTTCTGGGGGCCTCTCGGGGCGTCTTGGGCCGTCTTGGGCCCCCCTTGCGCAATCGGGCCGTCTTCAAGCATCTTGAGCTTTCTTGAGGCCTCTTGGACCATTAGGAGGCCGAAGAAATCAAAATCATAGAGTTATTTTGTTGTTGAAGGTGTTTGCAATGTTTCCCCGCATGGCCTCGACAGGCGCCTCGGGGCCTCCTTGGGCCGTCCTCCAGCATTTTGTGTGCCATCTTGGGTGTCGTTTTGCATTGTTGTAGGTTTGTCCAAGTTGCACGCATCGATGGGGCCTCTAAGGGGGCTTCTTGGAAGCCTCGTTGGGGGCATCTTGCGGCCTTTAGGGGGCCTCTTTGGGGCCTCTTGGACACGTCTTGGACCGTCTTCAAGCGCTCTTGCGCCGTCTGGACCCTGCGGGCGCCGTCTTGGAGGCTTTTTGGTTCCACTTTGGTGCTCTCTTAGGGTCCTCGTGGTCCGTCTTGAGGGCTTCTTGGACCATTTTGGGTGCCCATTCTGGGCAATCTTGGGGCCCTCTTGGGCCATCTGGGAACCCCTTGGGCCGCAAGGGGTCATTTCGGAGGCTGCTTGGGCCGTTATGGGCGGCCGAAAATTCGAAACTGCGAAAACGCCTAAATCATGCAAACACCTACGGGCAAATATTGTTTTACGCCTCTGGAGGCGCTCTTGGAGGTTTTTTGGGGTCTCTCTTTTTGGCCTCAGCGGCCCTATTGGGGCTATCTTGGGCCGTCCTGAAGCCGTCGCGGGTCGTCTTGAAGCCATCTTGAGCCGTCGTGATTCCCCTGTGGACTCCAAGGGGCCCCACAAAGCCAACATCAAGTATTTTCCACCGGTTGTTGATGGGTTTTCCAACTTCGCACGAATGGGTTGGCGATTCGGCGGGGGTCATGGGAAAGATTTAGGGGAAATCCTTTGCAATGTATAAGGGTACTATGTTTTGCAATGGCCCTTCCTTGACGCATGATGACCGGGCCCTTGCGTCACACACCCCTCCTGTCGGATTGCCGAGACCCTTCGCTGAAGTCCCGACGTGGATTCTATAAGCTTACGCCACAGCAGCCGGCCCCCCTTGAGTGTAGATTGTTTCCTATGGTTTGGGTGGGCGTCCAGGGTGATGCTGGTGCAGATGCAAGCGAGAGGGTGGGTGGTGGGGTGTCGTGGGGGCATCGTGGGCCCCCTGGAGTCCGTCTTGGGCGTCTTGGAGCGATCTTGCACCGACTCGGGGCCTTCTTGGACCGTCTTGGGGCCCTCTCTGGGCCGTAATTAGGGGAGCTCTCTATCTGCCCACGAGGGGGGGGGGGGGGGGGGAAACGGGCGGGGAGCAGCCCCACACGCCTGGACACCCACAGTTGGCGATTGCATCCTCACCCGAATTCATCCTCGTCCTGGCTTGGACTTGCACGCATCGTTCCGCCCGCATGTGCAGGCAAGGCTGGGGCTCTACCTTGTTCACGAGGGGGGTTCTGCTTATGGTGAGCCTTCTCGTGGCCGATTTCTCGCCGTGGCCAGAAAGGTCCTGCCGTTCTCCACTCCCAGACATCCGATGCCCTGGTCAATGTCAAGGCGTGGCCCCCCGAAGCTCCAAACCTGTCTCCAGCTCTGGGTATTCATCCCGGTCCGGAAAGCGAATTACGAGGCGGCGAATCGCCAGAGGAAGGCGGAGGCAGAGTCGGAGCCGCTGGTTTGCGCTGCGTGTCGGGTAGCGTCTTCGGACACGAAACATTTGAAGAAGGAGCAAGTGGAGGATCACCGGAAGCAGAAAGGAGCCAGAGTAGTTTGCGGGGTCTGTGGTAACCGCGGCATAGCTACGAAGGGAGTGCCGACGCGGCAAAATGGCTCGAGCAAGGATTGACGCGCGCGGCGTGAAGTCTAGAGTTCTCACGGCATCGCCACATCAGTAGCGCGCAGGGGACGGAACACCTGACGAGGGGCGCGAAGTTAGCGCTTGCAGATTGCAAGGACCTTGGTTTCACGGCGCGCAGTTGGCAGGCGTCTCAGCGCAGCGGTACTTGTTCTCGATATTAAGGAGGAGATGGTGACACTCTGGCGGTGACCTCCCTCGGCCTTGCTATAGAGAGGAGTTGTCGAGCATGTTCGATTGTATATCTACGCAATTGTCCCTCAGCTGCGCTTCGTCGAGAACGTCCCACGGGTGCGCCAGTTGAGGCCCGATCTGGCGGCTCGCACGGAGAGGTGGCGGCGACGGGGGGGGCGGCCGCCCAAGAAGGCGGGACCCTGGTTCAGGGCGCCAACGTCTCTTGAGGCTCGAGGCTTCGAGTTGGGGAACGACCGCACAATTGATGTATCCCCATTTTGTTTCGATTCGTCGATCCCACGAACTTTTCTTACGATGTTGGCAGGTTCGGCGAAACACTAAACTGGGGCAAACCGATTATGTAGTCGACTCCGTGTTCGAAGTCTGGAGGACGCTGAGCGTTCGTGGAGGTTTTGCGGGTTTTGGGGCGGATCAAGAGGGCCATCCTCTTCGAGGAGGTGGTGACCCACAGTAGTGACCCCCATTGGCATTGCCAGGGGAGGGGCGCAAGAGGAGGGTGGCGGCCTTCGGAGAAGTGCGGGGGGACTTCTTGTCGAGTATGGGATCTCCAGCATACTTGATGCGCAATTAACTGGAATTGTCCGTCGAGACTACAGAAAAAAAGGAGGTTGAATGTTCGAGTGCGTATATCTACACACGCGAGCATTGTGCGTTGTTTCTGGTGGAACTGACGGAAAACCACATTTGGAGCAATTCAATGTTGCACTCGATCCCCTATTCGATTCTGGGGAAGCAGATGGTTTCTTGGAAGCCCGTCTGGCTATTACGAAGGCTCCTTTATTGCCCGAGGGCATTTTACTGCGGCCCCTGGCTTCCAAAACGGCCCCCCGCTTTCGTGGAACGCGACCACCTTCGAGACAAACCCACGCGCGCCACCAATCCAACGCCTTGAGCAAATCCAGGAGGGGGTTGTGCTCACCGTGGTCGCTATTCATACATGTGTTTCCGCTGCCGGGAAATAAATCATCAGGAGTTGGCACTTGCACCGTTTCTTCGTCGCCTCCAGGCCTCTTCGCCTGCATCTGGCCAGCCGGCGCGCGTCCACGGAGTGGCGGGGCTTAGCGCAGCTCTCTGGCGAGATTTGGTCAGCGCTCGCAGCTGGAAAGATTGCTTCGGGGGCTCCGTGGACGGACTCGCGTTGTCGCCGCAGCTCGCCCAGGATGTCGTTGCAGAAGCTGGCGCGTGAGGCCAGGGGGTGGCAGAACCCCCTGACGGGGACCGCCCAGAAGGGCATGCATTCCAAGCCCCGGACTTGCCAAAGCGTGCAGTGAGCGCCGCACTTTGCACGCCGCTGTCAGTGGAGCCCCCCTGTGGGGCCACGGAACGCGTGAGAGGTGCCTCTCGAGCCCTTCCCCGTGCCCAGCTCTTCGTCCTGAATCGTTTGCTGACGGCCTCGGGCCCCCTTGTCGATTCAGAGGGGGCCAACAAGGGTAAATGCCGGCCGTCTCGATGTTCTCTAGCCGCCAGGCCACTGGGAGAGAGGCCCCATTGCTGAAGCATCGGTTGGAGGAGGACCCCTGCGCTTCCCCCCCCCGCCCTCTCGCAGGCGGCGGCGCCCGACGTCGGCGGCGCGGCGTCGCAGAGGCGCACCCCCTCCCCCAGCCGGAAGGGGAGCCGGAGCGGATGTCCGGGGCAAGGTTAAGGGGGGGGAATAGGCTCAGGGGGGGACGCGTCGACGAGGAATCTCGGCCACGCGCTGAGGGGGGCAGTCGGGGGCTACGATAAAGGGTGGGGGGGGGGGGGGGGGGGGAACGCATCGACCCCGAATTGCCCATTCATTGTCGATAAGGGCCCGATAGCCCCGCCCTGCCCAGGAACATGCGAATTCGTTATCGGAGGCCTATCGCCCCTCTATCGGCGATGTATCGTTGACTCCAGGTCGATGTGTCCCGCTATGCCAGACCCCTCACGGGAGGCGAGGGGAGAAGGCTTCTCAAAAGCACCCCTGCTTCTTAGAAGGCGCGGGCCTCGTCTGTGGATGCAGGGCCGGCGCCTTCTCAGGAGCAGCCTTCTTCTACGAAGGAGCCGTCTTCTGAGAAGCCTGCCCCCCTTCCCTCTGCCCCCCCCCTGCGCGCGCCGCCAGGGACCGCCCACTGATCGCCGACAGAGGCCCGAGACGCACACCCCGTCTGGGAAGGCGCAGGCTCGTTATCTCGGGCACACCGCCGACCTGCCGGCGAGGAATCCCCGATCCCAGGGCGGTGTGTTTCCCCCGCGAGCCGGTCCCCTCCCCTTCGTTGCCCCTGAGCAGGGAGAGCGTTCCAGTGAAGTTGCTCTGGGGCTCCACCAACCCAGACCCCCTCGCGTAATGACGACGGCAGGGTTTTGGCAACGGTCCGCTTTTGGGTGCCCTGACCGAGCCGTGGGGCTGTCAAGTCGGGGGTGGACAGACCTCCTACCCTGACACGTCGATTGAGGAATAGGCCGTTTCCGGTTTGCGAGAGGGCGTCGCGGCCGTCATTTTTGCGGGTCCAGGTCCGTCGGATTCGGTCCAGGGCCGTTTTCACTAAGGGGAGGTCTACGAAAGGGAGGTTTGTCCACCGCCGATCAAGAAGCGGCTCAGGATGAAAGGTCGGGCGACGAGAACTATGCACATGCACCGATCCTGGCAAGGCCCATCCTTGACCCAGGATCGGTGCATATGCCTTCCTGGCCAAGGTAGGAGGGCGTATGCACCGATCCTGGGCTCAGGATGGGCCTGGCCAGAGTCGGTGCATGTGCATAGTTCTTATTCCTCTATGAAAGGCTGGTCCTGGGCCAGAGGTGCAGACCGGTGGGGCGTGCACGTCGTGGAAAGACCTCGCGTGGGGTCTGTGACTTCGGGCCGCCTGGGCGCTTCTCGGGGGCACCTCTCCTGGGGCCACCTCGAGCCTGTCTCGGAGCCCTGCCGGGCCCCCCCTGGGGGCACGGCGGCTCGGGCAGAGGCAACCCGTCCCTGCTGGCGATGTGTTGTGACGGTGCTCTCGGGTCGGTGCTTCGGCCTGGGCGCATCGGCGTTCGCCCCTCCTCGATTGGGGGGGTGCAGATCTGCTTGCTTTCGGGTCGGTGCTTCGGCCTGGGCGCATCGGCGTTCACGCCTCTCGATTGGGGGGTGCAGATCTGCTGGGCAATCTCTTTCCGTTCGGCGCGTGATGCGAACGGCACGCGCGTGAGTGGAGAGTGCCTGCCTCGAACGATGTCCTCGCTTCAGTGTGTGAGAGGGAGCGAGAGAGAGAGAGAGGGAGAGCGAAAGAGAGAGAGAGAGAGAGAGAGAGAGACAGACAGACAGACAGACAGACAGACAGACAGACAGACAGACAGACAGACAGACAGACAGACAGACAGAGACTGCGCGAGAGAGAGAGAGAGAAAGAAAAAGAGAGAGAGAGAGGACAAACAAAAAGGCACCAGGGTCCCAAACGCATATGAGCGACGGAAGAAACGGGTTCGATTGCGCGACGTTGGCGCGTAAGCTCCCCGCGTAAGATCGCGCGTCAGCGCCCTCGTTCCCATTGCATCGTACCGCACTGGCGGCCCGCGCAAGCCACCGCGTCAGGTCGCGACGTCGTCTCGCGCAAGACTCCATTTTGTTTGGCGCTCACATGCTTCACACGAGCACAAGCTGTGCCGTCCTAGGGCTAAGTCGGGCATGTCCCTCTACAGGAGGATTATTCGAGACTTGTCAAAAAAATAGTCTGGAGGCGATTTTTCTATTTTTATTGGTTACTGCTGAATATTTATTATGGTTTGGCTATTAGTGACGCTTCTCGTATCCCCACAAGCCCATCCAGAAACGATGCCCATAAGAGTTGAAAGGGGGAGAGAGGAAGAGACACGCATAATCAAACAGCGAGGGAGGCTTGGCAGGCTTCGTGGCCATCTCGGAGGCGGAGGCGGAGGAGGAGGAGGAGGAGGGAGGGGAGGAGGGTGAGGGGAAGAGGAGGCGGGGAGGGGCGGAGGAGGAGGATGAGGAAGAGGAGGGTAGGAGAGGGGCGGAAGGAGGAGGAGGAGGAGGAGGCGTAGTCGGAGGAGAAGAAGCGATGAGGAGAGGAGGAAGTAGGAGGAGGAGGCGGAGGAGGAGGAGGAGGGAGGAGAGCTGAACTGCTGAGGAGGAGGAGGCGGAGGAGCAGGGGAATGTCGGTCTTATTCGCTGAGATGCCTATTAGATACATTAGTGATGAGGATTGAGGAGGAGGCTTTAGTTGGCTTTCTTCGTCTTTATGCGTGGTAGGAGGAGGCGGAGCGGAGGCGGAGGAGGAGGAGGATGGGCTGGAACGGAGGAGGAGGAGGAGGAGGAGGAGGAGGAGGAGGAGGAGGAGGAGGAGGAGGAGGGGGGTCCGGATCGCTCTCGCCCCCCCCTTCGGGCCTGGGCCGCCGGCCAGCCAGGTGGTGGATGCCCAGCACGGAGCAGCCTCGGACACCGCGGCTGGCGGAGCGCGCGCCGCGGCTGGAGGAGCGCGGGGGCTCTCGGCCAGGGGAGGGGCCAGGAAAGGATTAAGTCAACTCCTCCTCCTCTTCTCCTCCCCCCCCTCCTCCTTCTCCCTCCTCCCCCTCTCCGAGGCCTCCGAGGGACCCCGAGAGCCTCCGATGGGCCTCCGCGGACCCGAGGGCCGCCCGCCGGGGGCCCCCGAGGGCCGCCGCACGGGCCACCGCCAGGGAGCCGCCCGAGGAACGCGCGGCATGTCCCTCTACAGGAGGAATACTTAACTCCAAAAATAGTATTGGGGCGACTGCTCTACTTCCTCTTGGCTATGTTAGTTTCTCTTGTTGCTGATTCTAGCTTTCGTCAATTCTCCGCCTGTAAGAGGACGTGTCCAACCTGAAACAAGAACCGACCCCACCCCCCGTGGGCTGGCGTTCGGTCCCCGGCTTCTGCCAACCAGTCCTTGCTCCCTGGGCGGTGCTTTTCTTCGGGCGCGCGCGTACTCTCAGGGGCTTCGCTTGGAGGCTTGGTGTTGCCATCCTTCGGGCGTGACGGGCGTTTTCTGGGAGGGGGGGAAGGGGCGGGGAGGGCCCCACCCCTAGTGATACAGGGTCCAGCTTGAGTAAGGAACACTGAACTCTTCAAAAGGGGCTCGGTCGTTCCCTGGGCCTGCATGCGTTCCGCTCCCTTTTGGCGGCGAGCCCTCTTGGTGTTCATTCGGACTTCCTAGACTTACTTGGATAAAAGGGGCTTCGTTCCTTATGT